CTTTTTCTTTTTTCAATAGCTAGTTTGCTCAGAAAACAGACTGAAACAAAAAGAGCGGGGATAAACACTTTTGATGAGGATGCTAGTCCATTTGTGGGGTGGGGAGAATTAGCCAGAAGCTTATGTTCTTTGTCTACTTCTTGGCACATATTTTCAAAACAAAAAGGAGCGGGAAATGCATATTTCATAACCTAACATCTCTTGAGCTTCATAAATTGCCAATACACAAATGAAATGGCAGAATAAAATACAATAATGTGTTTTGACACAACAATCATGCCTGTTTCTCTTTAATGGGCCAAGCTGGGGTTTCCCAATACTATAGAGCAGTGTTTCTCAACCTTTCTAATGCTGCAACCCTTTAATATATTCCCTCATGTTGTGGTAACCACCAACCATAAAATTATCTTCGTTGCTACTTCATAACTGTAATTTTACTATAGTTAATGAATCTGTGTTTTCCATAGGCTCTACAGCAGCCCCACAGGTTGAGAACCATTAGCAGGGTCACCTAAGACCATCGGAAAATACAGATATTTACATTACAATTCATTAACAGTAGCAAAATTACAGTTATGAAGTAGCAATGAAGATAATGTTATGCTTGGGGGTCACCACCACATGAGGAACTGTATTAAAGGGTCTCGGCATTAGGAAGGTTGAGAACCACTGCAGAAAGGCTGGGCTGTGCTGTCACATCACCAGATGTATGTCATACTGGTCAGAGGCACTTACTTATTGGGCCATCTAAACACTTGTCTACATGCCAGTGCTGATGCAAACATGACATCTCTGGGCTTGCGAGTTGCTCTTGCGTGCAGACACCTTCGTGGCGTCATGGGACAGGACTTGGAAAGGGATTTATAACTGGGAATACATTTCATGGCTCAGCTGCAGAAGAGATTCGCTTTCAGCAACTATGTGAATCCATGGAATGAGTCCATTCTATTTCAGTTCTGCACAGCTGGCCGGCTGAGCAGTTTTCTTTTTCTCTTCTTTAATAGTTTTAGGATGACTGTAGCCAATTCTGCTTGGTAATTTTTGTTTTGTTTCTATTAACCGTGATATTTCTTTATGCCTAGGTAATTCCCCATCTTATGAATTTTTTGAGGGCTTTTTTTTTTTTGGTTACTTGAAACACACACACACAAATGACGATATAGTATAAAGATGCAGAGTTCAAAGTTGTTGCACTGAAATTGTGAGCAGGAATGCAGTGAGGGCTCAGAAAATTCTAGAATACTTAACCAGAGGGATGGCAGGAACAGCAAGAGAGCACACTCCCTGTCTGCTCATATCTACACATCTGCTTCATGTTTTTGCCTCATCTTCCCTGCTCCTCATCCCATGTGGTGGAGGAAGATGCCCACCCACAGTTCCCAAGGCCACATGTTGTAGTTCCAGGCACATGGACTGACTGAACCAACACCATTCTCTATCTCTGCTCTAATTCCAGTTTCCCGGGAAAGCTGACCTAGTTCACTTCAGGCTCCCACCCCCGGTCTGGTCTGGCTTATTTGAGCCCATTGCTTTGGACTAGGTGAAAACTAGAGAAATGATTCTGAGTAGTTCAGAGACTAAAAAAATAAAATGTCTACTATGGTTGCAAGAGAATGCCCAGGGACAGATGAAAAGGGATGAGTAATAAATAACAGGATTTTAGAAAGGAAAATCTTACTCTTATTTTTCCTACAAAGTAGGAAATAATATTCAAAACACTGACCCCGCCTCCTTCTCCAGCGCTCCCCACCCTGGCAAACACACACACACACACACACACACACACACACACACACACACAGTGTCCAGTGATCCCCAGAGCAGCTTAGCAGATGGGTTGAAAAGATCAGCAGGCTCATCCTAAGTTTTCAACACCTTGAAGACATCAGGCTTGGCCCTGGCTACCCCACACATTATTCAGCACCTTCCCTCTGTCACGTGCGCCAGAAGAACTGAACGTGAGTTCTCTCTGTATGTAGCAGACACTTTTCAAGTCCAGTCCCGAGACCAAATGGAGGAGTCTGACCCTGAGGTCTTCTTGATTTGGGTTTCCAGACGTAGATACATGCACAAATAGCAGTTCCCAAGGACTCAATTTAATCATTTCAATGAATGACTTCTGAGCATTTCCAACACACCAGATGGTCTGTTAGGCAGTTATGGTTAGGAGTTCGGGATTGTAAGTATCTGGAAACTTAAAATGTATCAGCTTATATACTTTAGGAAAATATGGAATAGCACCAGGTAAATCGAGCAATTCAAGCAAATGCCATCAGGATTTGGCCTCTTCTCCAGTTTTTTTCTGTGCCTACTTCACTAATACACGGGTTCTCTTCTATATGTTGGCTCCAGAATTTATGCTGTCTGATTCAAATTAAAACAAAAACAAAAAGAAAAAGATTCCTGCCATCTGTTCCACCAACTCCTTTCTCTTACTCATTCCAGTAGAAGTCTAAGGATTAGCCTTGATTGGCTGTGATTGGTCATGGACCCATTCCCAAGCCAATCACTGAGTCCAGGTGGAGGTTGTACTCTGGCCTGCCAACCCTGGGTCACATGGGCACTCTTGGAGTTGTAATAGAAATGGCACCAAAGTAACCACAGGGATGGAGAGTGGAGGAGGTGTCCCTCCCCAAAGAGAACTCAGGGAAATATGTAGGAAAACCCCACAAATGTCAACTACACAGGCTAAGGAACAAGGAGAAACACACACACACACACACATGCACGCTCATGCATATTGTTATCATAAAAACCTAATGGGAATAGTTGTTCTATATGAGATATTTGGAGAACAAAGATGGGAAGCCATTAATTCTAAGAAATCTGGAAATCAGGTTTTTTTTTTCCAGAAAAGATAACTACTGTGTTGTACCTTGAGGATAAGTAAATTTTGATTGGTGAAGATGGTGGGGAGGGGAGGTTGGGAGAGGATATTCCAGGCAGAGAGAGCAATATGCAAACACACTGTGAGATTTCTAAAAGGGTGGCACACTTTTGAAGACATTAGACCAGTGTGCACTGAGGGCATGTTGGTTGGCAGACGTGACATTTCTGACCCTTGTGGCCTGGCATCAATATATGTGCACTAACTGAAGATTCATGCATGCCAGCCTTCAGCTCTCAAATTAGAGACAATCCTGGGCACCTCTCATGCAGTGGGGAAATGAACAGGGATTTGGAATTTGGTCAGACCTGGTCAGAATACCATCTCAGCCACAAACTATCGTGTGACATTTGAGAAGTCATTGAAGTGTTTGATGCTAGTGTTTTTATCTGTACGATGATGGCATATGTATATACGGCATGTTGTCCTTCCGAGAATTAACTGAGATGCTATAGGCAAACCACCCAAAATGATGTCTAGGATATCACAGACATCCAATAAATACAAGTTATTCTCTCTTCCCATTTTTAGGTATACACTCACACTGTTTCCAATATGAACATGAATTTGCTTTGCTTTAATGCATGTCTAGCAACCACTTACTTGTTAGCTACAGAATTCAAAGTTGTGTTCTGACTGGGCTGTAAAAATGTTGGGAGTTGTGCTGGATACTTCTGTTTACCTTCCCAGGTCTACTGTTCACCCTTCTCCACTCTGCCCAGTGACCAGGTGGCCAGCCTTTAGGGATTGTGTGGACAGATTTTCAAGTCCTTTGGCCAATGGTGAGCTCAGCAAAAGAGGCCAACAGGAGATGGAGGTGGGAAAGAGTAAATCAGAGCTTTTATTCCCCAGATTCCTTTCTTGTAGAGATGTCATGGTTCTTATCATGCAGGTCTCTCTCTCTCTCCTCCTCCTTCTCCTCCTCCTCCTCCTCCTCCTCCTCCTCCTCCTCCTCCTCTTCCTCCTCCTCCTCCTTCTCTCTCTCTCACCTTTGACCTAGAACCTTTATTGCATGTCTTTGTCTATTAGAACTGCAATAACTACATATAATTGACTGGGTGATTTCTAAACAATAGAAATTCATCTCTGTTCTATAGGCTGGGAAGTCTGAGATCATGTCAGCAGCAGACTTGGTGTTTGGTGAGGGCTTCCTGGTTCATAGATGTATTAATTGCAAATATCTTCTCCCATTGAGTAGGTTGTCTTTTCATTTGCTTAATAGTTTCCTTCTCTGTACAAAACCTTTTAGGCTGTATATTCCTATTTGTTTACATTTTCCTTTTGTTGCCTAGCCCAGAGTTCACCAACCTTTCAGATCTCATGGTCCACTGGTTGGCGACCTCTGGCCTAGCCTGAGGAGATATATTAAAAATGATATTACTAAGAGCAATGTCAAAGAGTTTATTGCCTATGTTTTCTTCTAGGAGTTTTGTGGTTTCAGGTCTTACATTTAAGCCTTTAACCCATTTTGAATTTATTTTGATATGGTGTAAGAAAGTGATCCAATTTCAATTTTTTAAAAATGTAACTGATCAGTTTTCCCAACACTATTCATTGAATAGATTGCCTTTACCCCATTGTATAGAATCACTTTCTTTTTCTTTGATTGATTGACTATATAAGCAAGGACTTATTTCTGGGCTCTCTATTCTGTTCCATTGGTCTATATATCTGTTTTTATGCCAGTACCATACTGTTTTTGTAATTGTAACTTTGTTGTATAGTTTGATATTAGGGAGTGTAATACCTCCCACTTTGTTCTTTCTCAAGATTTCTTTGGCTATTTGGGATTTTCAATGGTCCCATATTAATTTTACTTTTAATCCTCACTCTAGGATATAGATTTTTTTTTTTGAGACAGAAGGATGGAAAGAGACAGAGAGACACATCAATGTGAGACAGAAACATGGATGAGTTACCTTTTGGTGTATGGGACAATATTCCAACCAACTGAGCCACTTGGCTAGGGCCCATATAAATTTTAGAATTAGTTGTTCTGATTCTGAAATGAATGTCATTGGCATTTCAATAGGAATTGCATTGAATATGTATAGTATTGCTTTCAATTGTAAGAATATTTTAATAATATTAATCCTTTCAATCCATGCTACAGGTTTTCATGGACTATATGTCATCATTGGCTCTACGCTCTTTAGTCAACTAAGATTCACTTCACAGGCAAGGTATATCCTTCCATTTATTCTCTTCAGTTTCTTTCTTCAGTGTTTTATAGTTTTCAGAATACAGGTCTTTTACCTCTTTGCTTAAATGTACTCTTTGGTATTTTATGCTTTATGATGCAATTGAAAACAAGATTATTTTTTAAATTTCTCCTTCTGATCATTTGTCATTGGTATATAAAAATGCAACAGATTTCTGTATATTAATTCTGTATCCTATAACTTTACTGAATTCATTTATTAGTTCTAATTTTTTTTTGGTGGAGTCATTAGGGTTTACATTTCATTTGCATATGATAATTCACTTCTTCCCTTCTGCTTAGGATGCATCTTATTTACTTTACTAGTCTAATTGCTATGCCTGGGACTTCCAATACTATGTTGAAGTGGTGATAGTTGGTATCCTTGTTTTTTTCCTGATCTTAGAGGAAAAGCTTAAAGTTTTTCATTGAGTTATTAGCTATGGATTTGTCATATAGAGTCTTTATTATGTTGAGATGTTCCTCAACTTGACTTTATTGGGAGTGTTTATTATACAAAGATTTTGAATTTTGTAAATTTTTTTTCTGCCTTTATTGAGATGATCATATGGTTTTTTAAATATGTATGATATATATATATATATATATATATATATATATATATATATACACATGCATATATACTAATTTATATTTATTATTGAAAACATTACAAATGTCCCCTTTAATTACCCCTCCATTGACTCCCTCCATCCAGGTCCCCTCCAGGTCTTTACTGAACTGTTGTCTGTGTCCCTGGGTCATATATCCTATCTAATAAAAGAGTAATAAGCAAATTGACTACCACTCCAAGACACAAGATGACTGTCCCCATGTGGTCAAAGATGGCTGCCCCCATGTAAACACAAGATGGCCACCACAAGATAGCCTGCAGGAAGGGCAGTTGTGGGGGACCCAGGCCTGCAGAAAAGGACAGTTGGGGGAGGAGACCTGGCCAGTAGGAGAGGACAGTTGGGGGAGACCAGGCCAGTAGGGGAGAGCAGTTGGGGGGAAACCAGGACAGCAAGGGAGGACAGTTGGGGAAATCAGGCCTGCAGGGGAGGGCAGTTAGGGGCAATTGGGCTGGTTGGGGAGCAGTTAAGCATCAATCAGGCTGGCAGGGGAATGGTTAGGGGTGATAAGGCTGGCATTCAGAAGTGGTTAGGGACAATTGGGCAGAGGCAGGTGAGTGGTTGGGAGCCAGCGGTCCTGGATTAGGCCCACCGGGATCTGGCCTAAAAGGGAGGTCAGCCATCACTCAAGAAGTCCCAGATTGGAGAAGGGTGTAGGCTGGGATGAGGGACACCCCCTACCCAGGCTCATGCACTAGGCCTCTAGTATAAACATAATGTTCTTTGCTTAATCTCTTCCCACCCTTGAGATTTGTCAGACTGTTGCATGCTTCCATGTCTATGGATCTGTTTTGTTTGTTAGTTTATTTTGTTCTTTAGATTCTATATATAAGTGGGATTATGTGATACTTATCTTTCTCTGACTGGCTTATTTCACTTAGCAGTACACTTTCCAGGTCCCTTCATGCTGTCTCAAAGGGTAAGAGGTCCTTCTTTTTTACAGCTGCAAAGTATGCCATGGTGTAAATGTACCACAGCGTTTTTATCCATTCACCTACTGATAGGTTCTTGGGCTGTTTCTGGATCTTAGCTATTGTAAATAGTGCTGCTATGAACATAGAGGAAATATAGATGGCCAAGAGACATACAAGAAATGCTCAAATCACTGATCATCAGAGAGATGCAAATTAAAAATGATAATGAGATTTCACCTCATACCTGCCAGAATGGCTATCATCAATACATTCTCACCATGCACTGCTGGTGAGAATGCAGACTGGTGAAGCCATTGTGAAAAACAGTATGGAGTTTCCTGAAAAAAATTTAAAAATAGAACTCCCATTTGACCCAGTGATCCCACTTCTAGGAATATATCCTAAGAATCCGAAACACCGATCAGAAATAATATATGCACTCCTATGTTCATAGCAGTGCTATTTATGATAGCTAAGCCCATATGGTTTTTATCCTTTATTTTGTTAATGTGATGTATCATGTTGATTGATTTATGGATGTTGAACTATTCTTATACTGCTGGGATGAATCTTATTTAGTCATGTGTATGATCTTTTTAATGTATTTCTGAGTCAGGTTTGCTAATCTTTTGTTGAGAATTTTTGCATTATGTTCATCAAGGATAATGCCTGGTAATTAAATTTTTGTGTGTATATGCAATGCCTCTGTCTGCTTTTGGTAATGAGGTAGTGCTGGCTTTTTAGAATAAGTTTGGTAGCATTTCTTTCACTTCAATTTTTTGAATGTAGTTTAAGAAAGATAGGTATTGCTTCTTCTTTGAGTGCTTGGTAGAATTCCCCTGAAGTTTCTGGTCTTGGTCTTTTGTTTGTAGGAAGCTTTTTAAAAAAAATTATTATTACTGCTTCAATTTCATGGCTAGTAATTGGTCTGTTTAGATTTTTTATTTTTTCCTGGGTTTTTATAATTTTGGGGCTTCAAATTGTTCCATGTAGAATTTCAGCCATTTTCTAAGCTGAAAAACTTCACTCTTTTCTTTAAATATTCACACCAAATCCTATAAGAACAACTTTGCTAGGCTTATGAAATGTAAATTGGTTCAAAGGGACAAAGTGTGGAATTAGATCTGGAGTCAAGTTTCCATGGCATACCTTTGAATCAGATCACCTTTATACCATCCAAGACCAATCAAGTCTAAGCCAACTATTAAGTTGAATCATAAGTAATTGCTACTATTCTAGAGTTTTCTGACTCCAAAATGGCAATTCCCTGTGGTTTAACTGACAGATGACTCTTGCGGTTCTTTAAGAGAATATGACTTTAGTTTACTTTTCTGTTTTTTCGGAATATTTTCTCCTTATTTTAGCAGTGAATACCATATTTTTCTCTATTCATTTTTCATAAAATATCTGATAGGTGAGCATGCAAATGTTATTACAATATTAAATTTGTATTAGTGAATTAATTATATAAATCACAGTGATTTTGTACCCTATATTTACTCTATAGACTTCTGTTAAATATATTCACACAAATCAATACAAATCCAGAAGGTAAAATCCCAATTTTCACTAGAAACTAATGCCTAGAAATATGTAACCTATTAATAAACAAGAAGCCTTTGATCCATACCCTGCTGGCTATTAAAAATTCTAGTCTCAGGTAAAATTTATTTAGAAAAATATCTAGTCTTAGCAATTAATACCCTTTTATTTTACCATCTACTCTTTTAAAATATATATATATATATATTTTATTGATTTATTTAAAGAGAGGAAGAGAGATGGATAGAGAGAAACATCGATGAGAGAATCATCAATCAGCTGCCACTTGCACACCCCCTGCTGGGGATGTGTCCGCAACCAAGGTACATGCCCTTGACTGGAATTGAACCTAGGACTTTTCAGTCCGCAGGCCGACGCTCTATCCACTGAGCCAAACTGGTTTCGACTCTACCATCTACTTTAAGTAATTGTATTTCCTCATGACAGTAGGAGGTAGCCTACCAATCTTTAACAGTACTATTGCATCCTTTCTGATGCTGTTTTGTACAAGTTTAAGATTTAAGCTTAGAAAGAGATACTTTTCTTTAAGGTAATAAAAATACCAGCTAATTACATACAAGCTAAGATTATGCAATGGATAAACACAGTCATAGGAAGATTCCCACGTAGGGATTATTAGGTAAAGCTGAGAGAACTCAACACTGGGAAACTGGAGTGAGGTTCTTGCTTTGTTACAGTCAATTTATGTTACCATGGGGAAGCCACTTGGTTAAGATTCATTTCTGCCATCTATAATATAGGTGTCGGGTTTAGGGAAATAGGTGTTGTCCAAGGTCCCTTTCAATTTCAAAATTACATTATAGATAGGACACATCAGTCAGCACTTACATCTTTCATTCTGGAAGGGTAGAGGGAGAAAGTTAGAGAAAGAGAGAGAGAGGGAAGGAGGGAAGGGAGAGAGACCTTATATTTGGGTTATTTGGGCTTTTCAACCACTAGAAAGCTACTAGAATGGTGGAATCAGGGTGAATCTCCAGCCTGTATCCTACATCCCACAAGACAATGTAGACAATGTCTTTTGTGCTGATTCAGAGCTCACAACCTTCTACTATTGATTATGTGTTTCAACTATCTTGAGTTCAGGAATTCCTGGTCCCTAGGGGAAAATCTATCTTCCTATGTAAATTGATCAGTTGCCATTCTGGGTAAGAACCCAAGCTTTAGTAATTTCCTTAGACTTGACTACTGCAAATTGAAGTAATAAATTGTAGTATCTTAGCATTCCCCTAATCAAATTATCTGAGAGTTTATCCTAAAAGAGCCTTTATTATTTTATTTAACAGGCATTGATCTAATGCAAATAATAACAATAATAAAAACAATAGTAATAATGGTATCTCACTTGTACTGAAGGTTACTGTGCAGGCACAGTGTTAAACACTCATTTTTTTTTTTTCATTTGCACTTCATAATTTTCCAATGAAGCAAAGTATTATTCAACAAATCCTACTGTGATTGGTTCTGGGGATGTAAGGATAAGCAGAGCCTTAATGTAAAGGAACTTAATTTCTAAAAGAGGAGATAAATATTAAGCAAAGAATCACAGAAATAAATGGAGCATACAGCCGTATTAAATGCTACTTATCCAGTGGAAGTACAGGCAGCTATTGTACTCATTGCAGTGATAAGATAATTCACTAAAGAAAGGGTGTGGCTTGTTCTGGGTCACAACGTATGTAACCAGAAGAACCCTGTCTAATCAGCATTGTTAGGTTGAAAACACCATTGGAAACCACTCTGCCATGTCTTGCTCCATGCCTAGTTTCTCCATCACTAGTTCAAGGTTAACATGTTTGTCTTTTCTGTTGGCAGTCACTTACTTATTTACTTATTTGTTTTGAGAGAGAGAAAGAGAAACATTGATATGAGAGGGA